GTGTGTGTGTGTGTGTGTGTGTGTGTGTGTGAGAGAGAGAGAGAGAGAGAGAGAGAGAGAGAGAGAGATTGCCAGTTCTGGGATCAGAGGTTGCAGCCTAGCTTGACTTGGCTCTTGAGTTTTGACTTCTAATCGGTTGCTACGTTCACAAACCAGTGCCCTTTTCCGTACCACTCCCAAACCACTATCCGGGGGTCAATACCCGTGTTTGGATCCCAAGCTTCTATCAACATTGTGCATCTGACCTGCTTCTTCGATCCGTCTTTCCCCAAACACAACGCACCCTCATCATGACTGTACCGAACCGGAAGGATGACTCCTATACATTCATAATCAGGGTGTGTTATTTTCGGGTGAAGACGACGGGGGGCAGCATAAGGGGCGGCTGCAATCAAAATAATGCATGCCTAAAGCACCTTTTTCCATCAATGGGTACTCCCCTCCAAACGCATCAACAACACGACCGAACTCGCAACGAAGTTGCCTTGACTGGTGCCCCTCTTATGATTCACAAATGGATTGCTTTATTTTTCTCTGTTTTTTTTTGTATGTTTCACCTCCAATCCTTTTCTTTGCCCCCGACGGAACGGAGGAAATGGGATTTCAATCTTCAACCCATGATACAATCTTGTTATATGTCGATTTAGCAAACCAATGCCTTCAGCCACTCAGCCATACCTCCCGGGAAAAATGGGATTTGAGCCCGCGACTTCTGGCGTAGGTATGCAGACTGGGACCTAAAGGAATGAAGAAAGAATCACTGCACTGCCAGAGTGCAGCAACAATGGCACCGTAATCCCGTGTAGCAACAGAGCTTACCACAGGTCATTAAAAGCAAACAGCTCAGCACCTCAACGATCATCCCACCATTCCAGGCCGGGAAGCGAGCAGAGTCCATTCATTAGACACAAGGTTCCAGCCGTGCTTACTCTGACTGTTCTTACGCTTGATCTTTTTTTAGCAATCTAGAACGGTTCAGGGTAGCCGAAGCCAGGTAATGGCCCTGGTATTTCAAATCTTTTGTATAATTCTATATGGGATGCTGGGCCCGGTTCCCAGCACGTGTTGCTCCCCACGAATATACTGGAGCATTTGTCCAAAAAAAAAAGAAAAAAAAAAAAGGGTGGGGGTTTCTCTGTCCTTCGGGACATCCGTTGACAGTGGTATGGTACGGAGAGGATTAGTGAGGCCCCTGCACATTGCACAAGGATAAAAGGGGGGGCTTAACTGACAGGCAATCCTTAGGAAGGAAGCAATCAATGCTCCCAGTGTTTCCCGGGGCCATACTCTGGGGGAGCTTACCTGACAGGCAATCCTTAGGAAGGAAGCATCAAGAGTATGTCTATGATGTGCTTTTCTGACTTGCCGATGGAATAGGAAAGGATTCTGAGTCCGACTGACGCTCCCCCCGAGTAGATCTAACTGGGCTTGGAACCGGCGCCGCCTTGCACCCCTCCCCTACCTCCTGCTCAGTCAATCCCCTGGATGCCAGGGTAATCAATGCTGGCAGGACTCCTCCATAATGGTTCTTGTTCCGACATGCTGTAAATTCATTCTGTATAGGGGACGCTGGGCCCACTTCCCAGCAGGTGATGCTCCCCACCAATAGATGGAGCCTCTCCCCAGGTGTTAGCGGTGTCTGCTCTTATCAGCACCACTAACACTGGCGGGGGTGT